ACCCAAAAGATGGTTGTGGTTTGGTTGAGTCAATAAATGGCGCTGGCTGTACCATTGTCTTAGAATTCCAATTACTAGAGCAGAGTGCTGCACATGGATTTCTTCTGTGGCACCAAATTACATTGAAATCCGGTGTCGGATTCAAGAGCCAGACCAGGGCTGGGATGCTCATCTGTTAATTTATCAATCGTTGATGTTTAATCGTAATCCAGGCATTTGCATGGGATTTATGAATTAATTATGTCTGGGCGGAATTGCCAAAAATTGGAGTTAATGCTTTGACTGCGACCAGCAGCACATTGTCAAGTAGTTTGCTGTCTGAGAAAACTTTGTTTTTTTAACTACCTTCCCACATGACTCATGCTGGCAGCATTATTTGAAACAAGAGTTCAGAACAGTCGGAGAGCTTTTCTTATCTCATTAAAAATCCAAATTTTGAAGGACTAATTCATTGTAAATGTTCGGCCGAAGAAAATAAGTCCAATGCCCATCCGAAATGCAGACAGTGATAAAAAGTTTTTGGGGTTATACAAAATCAAACTACACACTGTATTTCCTTCATATCCATTCACAACTTTTCAAATCGCTGATTAGAAAGATACCTACAAAACTGGGGAAAAAGGGCGAAATATCCAAGCCTGATGGTTCAATCATGGATGACCTGTAGCGACAAGTGTTGCATGTGACATAAGAGGGTATTCCCGATTGCCTAGAGCACGTTTCTTCTCTCAAGCACAGGACGGCACCCTTCATGCTCCCTCCGTATTTCCCTCTGAATCCTCACACGGTCTTTCGTCACCACCTCGCTAATCCAATAAATCACCTGCACCGTTTTGACGTCTGGGTGGGCTCTTGTGTAATGGCGCTGGATAGCCGACCCGTGTTTCCCCTGGTGACCGAAATGACTACGTGGGTGCGAGGTTATTTTTAGCCCTGGAGCACATGGTAAGGCAAGTGGGGAGGGTGGTGGGAAAAGGAGCGCCTGCTTGTCACTCCTTGGCAATCCTCTCAGTGTAGCCAAGAGGATCATTAAAATAACAAGAGGGGTAATGTAAGATTCAGGGTTTGTGTAACACCAGGGAGAAAGTGCAAGCGCTGTGGCGAGAATGAGTTGGGAGCAGAGCAGGAAGAGTGACACCAGTTGCCAGGATCTCGCTTTTCATTTTAAACTGGAGGGCACGTGTCTTTGAGGACTCATTGAAGCTAGGCCTGTCCTTGTCCTCACGACACCACGTACATGTACAGTCCAAGGGAAAGGGAGACAACAAAAACTCACAACAAAACTTTGTTGTGGGTTTGCCTTATACTCAGAAATAGAGGTGTCAGAACTCATTCTCAAACCGAAAACCATGTCGTCATGCACAGTATTTCATTGAATATTTTGTAATTCTTACTGGAGAAATATTTTGGAAAGAGTTCATTTTGGATAAGGGGTTAGATTGATTTTGAACAGCTTTCAAACAAATCATACTATTTTCCTCACACGCTCTCCAAACATTATCTTACGTTTTAACCTGCCTTGGTTTTAACCCCTTAAAGTCTTGGTCTTGGCTTATGTTGTCTTGACAACACAAGTTGAAACACTTTGTTCCATCTCGCTCTGTTTTGTCTTTTTTTTTCTGTATTCTTGTTTGATTTTTGGTCCATATTTCCTATGAACGTTTGTGTCACATTCCAAGTTGTTTGCCAACTCGTTTAAAATTTGATTGTCTGTCAGCCTTTCGCTCTGCTCCGTCCGATCATCTGGGACATAGCAAAAGTATCTTACAAATTTCTTCAGGGAGAGCAATGTTTGAGTCGTTATCATGTAGGTGTCGCATTTCTTAGATTTGGGGTTTGAATCTTTACCCTGGCCGTTCAGAATCAGAATCAGAATCATCTTTGTGAGGAGAACACCGTACCCACCAGAACTGTGCGGTGTTTCTCCAACAACAAACCATGGATTAATCCCGACATAAAGGCCCTCCTGAAGGAGAAGAAGAGAGCTTTTATGTCGAGAAACAGAGAGGAGCTGAAGGCCGTGCAGATTCGGCTGAGAAGAAAGATCAGAGAGGGGAAGAAGACGTACAGGACGAAATTGGAGGACCAGTTACAGGCCAGCAATGTCACTGGTGTCTGGAGGGGCCTGAAAACCATCTCAGGCCACAACAGCCCAAAGACATTGACTGAGAAGGACAAGGACTGGGCAGATGAACTGAACAGTTTTTTCAACCGATTCGACAAGCCGTCTGTCCCTTCCCCCAACCACCAGCTGCACCCACTCTCACTGACGACTTCTTCTCCTCCCCCTCCTCTTTTGACCTGCTCCCAACAACTCAGTCTGTCACCTGGTTCCTGCCTGTCCGTCACAACAGAACAGGTGAGGAACCAACTGAGGAAGATGAATGTGAGGAAGGCAGCAGGTCCAGACAAAATCAGTTCCCGGCTCCTCAGGACCTGCTCTGACCAGCTGTGTGACATTGTCCAGCATATGTTCAACCTGAGCCTGAAGCTGGGCAGAGCTCCACAGCTGTGGAAAACTTCGTGCCTGGTCCCAGTGCCCAAGAACCCCCACCCTAAGAAGCTGAACAGCTACAGACCGGTGGCGCTGACGTCTCACCTGATGAAGACGCTGGAGAGACTCGTCCTCGCTCACCTTCGACCGCTGGTGAGCTCGGCACTGGACCCGCTGCAGTTTGCCTATCAGTCTGGCATCGGAGTGGAAGACGCCATTATCTACCTCCTCCACTCAGTGCTGTCTCACCTGGAGAAGGCTGGGAGCACTGTGAGAATCATGTTCTTTGATTTCTCCAGTGCCTTCAACACCATCCAACCCAACCTACTGAGGGACAAACTGCAGAACGCCGGAGTGGACCACCATCTCACAGCATGGATTATAGACTACCTCACAAACCGGCCGCAATACGTAAGGGTGCAGAGCTGTGAGTCGGACAGGCTTCTCTGCAGTACGGGAGCGCCGCAGGGGACTGTTCTGGCTCCATTCCTGTTCATCCTCTACACCTCGGACTTCAGACATGCCACTCCAAACTGCCACCTTCAGAAGTTCTCCGATGACTCTGCGATTGTTGGCCTCATTACAGAGGGGGACGATCGGGAGTACAAGCGACTGACGAAGGACTTTGTGGACTGGTGCCAGCAGTATCAACTCCAGATCAACCCTAGGAAAACTAAGGAGTTGGTTGTGGATTTCTGCAGGCAACAGTCCTCACCAGCACTGATGAACATCCAGGGTATGGACATAGAGAGGGTGACCTCCTACAAGTACCTGGGTGTTCTTCTCAACAACAAACTGGACTGGTCGACTAACACGGACACCCTGATTAGGAAAGGTCAGAGCAGACTTTTCCTACTCAGGAAACTGAGGTCTTTTGGGGTTCAGGGGTCACTCCTTAAGACTTTCTATAACTCGGTGGTGGCCTCGGCCATCCATTATGGCATTGTCTGCTGGTCAGGCAGCATCTCGGCCCGGGACAGGAAGAGATTGGAGCGACTAGTCAGGAAGGCCAGGTCTGGCCCCCTCGACACTCTGGAGGAGGTGGGCAACAGCAGGATGCTAGCTAAGCTAAAAGCTATGTTGGACAGTCCCTCCCACCCCCTCCAGCCCGCCCTGACAGCACTCGGTAGCTCCTTCAGTCAGAGACTGTTACACCCGCGTTGCAAGACGGAGAGATACCGCCGCTCGTTCCTACCGACTGCTGTCAGGCTGCTGAATAAAAAAATGAGTAAATAAATAAATCATAAAATTATTTAAATGATATGACAACAAATGTGAATGTGAATAGTACTGTGACTATTGTATTTATATTGCACTTAATTGAACTTATTGACCTTATCCATATTTGTATTTATATTGCACTTAATTGAACTGTGTTTTCTTTTCTCTTCTTTCTACCCACAATCTTGCTGCTGAAGGCTGTAAATTTCCCCAGTGTGGGACAAATAAAGGATATCTTATCTTATCTTATCTTATCTTTATTGGCCAAGTATGTAGAACACACAAGGAGTTTGTCTCCGGCAGAGCATGCTACACTGGTGTTATCAATAACAAGCAACTACGATAAACGAAGACAAATAAATATTAAAAGACTTTTCGTAATGTAAGGGTACCATCCTGCAGTAGTACCACCCAATGACAGCTGTGAGACAATCAAGTGTGTGCAAAATTCAGATTCAGATTCAGATTCAGATTCAGAAAACTTTATTTATCCCCGTGGGGCAATTAGAGCAAAGAGCCACTACAGATTTGGGTTACTGTTTAGAGAGTTTGCTCTTCTTCGCCCGCATTTACGTGGTTTTTCTCTTTGGAACTGGCTTTTCAGTTGGCTGGAATTTGTATGATCCGTACAGCTATTCAGCCAACAGTTCCAATGTCACTAATCGCCTTTGTTTACGGACATCTAGGGTGCCAAAAGAAGTACTGTATTTTAAATTTCAACCAATCTATAAGATTGTACTGATTTACAGTCAAGGTGGGAATTGCCCTGTGACTCATTGTAGTCTGCGAAGCTCATTTCTCGGTGTTTCCCCGAAGTTGTAAACCTGAATCAGTTGTCGTTATGTGATATTCAATATTTGGGCTTTGTCCATCTCAAATCAGAGCAAGTGGGAACCTATGTTGGCTCGTACTGTAGATCTCTGCCACCCTTACACAGACATCGTTTGCTTTCTTGGTTTTTGCCAATGGAGCTGCATCTCACTTTGTTGAACCTGGTGGGGAGTCTGTGTACTTCAGCAATGGATCAGATACTCTGCCCATGCATTATAACCTCATCAATGTGCAACACCAACATCATGAACACAGTTTTGACATGTTGAGTCATGAAGAGTACTTTTTTTTTTTTTTTTTTTTGCTCACATCAGCAGGATCGTTGCTTTTATGAGTTTCATTTTTTTTTTTTTTGTCTACATCTCTTGTGCGACTCCGTTCACCACCCTTCTTTTGCCTATTATTACGATCAACACATTCCTGATAGAGGCTGTTTTGTCATTTCATCTTTCAGGCTATGAGAAGACAGAGGATGCTTCCGAAAAGACATCTTTAGCGGACCAAGAAGATGCCCGATTGATTTACCTGAACCAGCCACAGTTTACAAAGTTTTGCAGCAACAGGGTCAGGTAAGAATTACCTGATAGAGTAATCCCTCATTTTCACGGTTAATGGGGACCAGCAACCCCTGGGAAAGAGCATTTACACATCTTAGGCATAGGCTCATTAGTGTTTTGCAATTGCTTTCCAGTCCGTGCCATACAGCTGCCATGGTCCATGGCAGCTGTATGGCACGTTTTATAGCTGCACTTAATTAAATGTAATACCACCCGTTATTGCCTTTAACCCAAAACTGATCCACAGGGATGTGAACAAACAATTCTATTATATACTGATGATCATGTGACTATTGTGCTTTTTAAATGACTTGATTTGTATGCATAATAATGACTAGTTAGCTGGAAATCAGGACACAACTCCATAAAGTCAGCACTTTTCCAGTGTGACTGTCACTTCCTCTCTTAAGATTGTGCTGCTTTTAGCATTAAAGGTCAAGCATGTCAGGTCAGGCCATCCCCTGTCAAGGAATATTACTGTTGGCATTCTGGCTGCACGAGTTCTACGCGTACGCACGCACCCACACATATGCACACACACAGTTAAACAACCATGAATGAAACAATAAGAAGGGCGCAACCATCAATGTATTAAGTTACTTGATGGTTGTGCGCACTCTCTTGTTGTTTTGTTGTTGTTGTCGTCGTCCTGGGTCCATGAAATGTACTATGCTAAACGGACCGTGAAGAACAAAACGTGGACATTAACACATGACCTGGATCATCTACAGTTAATTAACTGCACATTTCCCACATCACGGGTTAAGTCTAATGACTTCTTGTTATTCTGCTTCAAATAAGTGTACCCTTTGATTCTGCATTTGATCACCCATGAGGAAAATGTTCCAAACTGGTTTAGATCACCAAAAGATAGTACTGGTAAGACCAGCTTGTCAGTGTCAGGAAACCTGTGTGTGCAGCTGTGTTTACCTTGGATCAGGTGAACAATGATACAATCTCATGCGGGAACAGAATTTTCACACCCGATGGTCGCTAAGAGACATCATGAGATCATTGTTGTATTCCCAATGTTTCTTTCACTCCTACTACATATATATATATATTTTTTTGGAGCTCCTTTGTATAAAGAACAACCCCCCTGCGCCCCCCCAAAAAACAACAAACAAACAAACAGGTAAACATGTAACAGTCAAAGTACAAAGTATTCCATTCTGTAAAGAGCTGTTTAACACATGATTTCAAATGTGGATGTAGCTTTCCTTTCATTTTATTTCACCATTTCAGTATTGGCCGTGAATTTACTCTATGTAACTGTTTGGGCATAGAATAGAGGTTTAACATTGCTCTATAGTTGCACATATGCGTTTCATTTTCTACCATATTTACAGTATATTTAAAAAATGTCACGCCACATAGCATTTATTCAGCTGCAGTTGAACTGTAGCGAGTTGGTGAAATCTTGTGATACTTCAGTTCAATGGGCATCACCTGGCGTTAAATAGCATTTTTCTGCTTTTAGTGCTTTTATTTTTCGTTTCATGGTACTTTTATGAAAATACATGTTAATTTAATACATAGACGATGATGGCAACAGTTTGAGGTTGGATGTAATTAATTGACATAAAAATTAAAAATGTACTCTCCCTATGTTTTTTTTTTGTTTGGGGTTTTTTTTGGGTCAACATTCGCTAAATGTTGATACATTACTTGAAACAACAGTGAGCAGTTTTGTAAAACATAATTGCTGAGGTAGGAAAAGTCGATTAAAGGTTAGACATGAAATTACTCGGGCTTTGGCTGTAATTTATCTGACGAGGAAAGAAAGTGCCTTCCTCACACGGCCTCAGTCCTTTCGGACATTGGTTGAAAATAATCTTCCATTAGGCAGTGCGCTAAGTGTTTCCGCTTCTTTTTCAGAGGAGGAAGTTCACTGGATAGTCATGAGAGATTGGACCACAGTGCTGCCTTGTCAGATCAAACAAAGAGTCAAACTGAGTGAAAAAGTACCAAGGAGACACTGTCCACGTGATCTTTTAGGCAAGATGAGTGTTGTATTGGCAGATAAGAATAATCAAGCCGCGGCTTAAAGGCTAAAACGTCAGATTTGCCACCCACCATTTCGATGCTACCTCGAGGGAGGACTAAACCAGTCATTATGCATTAGCACTGTCAGACTGACATGTCCTTTTTGCAGGCATTAGTTTGCTAAGTATCAAGCAATATGGTGAAGCTAAAGGTCACCATACCAGCTACAGTTTTTCAACTAATCTTTACAGTAGATCAAAGCAGGAACCCTACTAAATGTAGTTGAAACCTGAGTTAATTTATCAATCATTCCATTAAAGAAAAGTCCTACGTCAAAATGCCATCCTCATAAAAAGTGACATTTTAAAGTAACCTTTTAAAAGTTTCAAACTTTCATACAAGTGTAAAAAGAAGTCTTAACTTTCATGAGAAATGACAAAGGCGTAGTCAATCTCATTTTTAATGTTCACACGTCACATGTAAAAAGAAGTCAACCATGGTAAATTATGGCCTCTTGTCATGCCGGAGTCTGTAACTAACTGTAATTCACATAACTTTCATCTGCTCGTTTCATGTTTTTTTTTTCCCCCGATTTTATCAAGTGGGTGTTTTTATTTTATATATTCTTTTTCCTCTTTTTGTTTGTGTCATTATATTGCTTTTTATTGTTGCTTTTAGTGTACAATTTGAAATGTGTTATCCAAATTGTAAAGTGCATAATAAATAATATCTATTATTATTGAAAAGCCAAAGACGAAGCTCATCCTTTGAGGTTCTCTGAACTGAAGTCATCGTCATACCATACTGTAAAGTGAAGGACCAGTTTTCAGCAAACCTACAGGCATATTTATTTTCCCTCAAGTATTTTTCCAAATGTACAACCTCAACTCCCCCTATATATATATATACACACACACATACATACATACATACATACATACATACACACACAATTCATTTGGGATGAACAATATAGGAAGCTCCCATAAATAGAAGTCAAAGCAGAAGTGCTCGGAAGGTTGCTGTGAAATATTGATTGCTTGGACACCCTGTGTAACACTTGTAGATAAATGCAACACGCACATACAATTAGAGATACATATTGTAGGCTAATGCCACTTCCTTGTTCAGCTACCTACTAAAAATAATATGAAAAAGGGGAACATGACCTTCTCCTAATCTTCTTCTTCTTCTCCTTTCGGCACGTCCCTTATTCAGGGGTCGCCACAGCGAGTCAGTAATTTCCATCCGCCCCTGTAAACCGTCCTACCAACTCGCATGGTCGTCTTGGCAAAAGTTTTACGCCGGATGCCATTCCTGACGCAACCCTCCCCATTTCTCCGGGCTTGGGACCGGCACTGGGGAACAGTGCACCCCCAGGGGAGGGCACTGCCCCCCAGCGGCTGGGTTATGACCTTCTCCTAATAATAGTAATAATAATCTTTCAGAGAATAATTATAATGCCTGTTCAGGAAAGAATGTTGTATCATTCGGGTAGTTGTCACACAGGTTTTGTTTTTCTACACCTTTATACTTGATTTTTTTTGCAGCTTGGGAACATGCTCATGTACTGTACCTTTGAACCAAGATAATACACAAACTGTTATCTTGGAGTCCAGTAATTTGATCAGTATGGTATTTTATTGCAGATTGTATCTTGAGTGACGCAAATGGACGCTCACAGAGAACCTTTAGTTGTACTCGTATTTGAGAAGACAATCTGTGGACACCAATCCAATGTCCACTAAAAACCAATTAGACTTTGCTGAGTGAGACAAAACTCAGTCACTTGGAACTTTTCTTGAGCGCTCCCTACTTTTGACAAGGCTCTTCATCAGACTTTTGTGAGCTGCTAGCATTGGAGTGCACCGCGCTTTGAGAAATGCTTGGCTCTTTGCTGCCTTCATTCTGTCCCCCTCTCGCTCACCTTGAAAGACCATACGTGGAAAACCTTACCTTGTTTTGAAGGATCTACTACATATAATTACTACTACAAATTTCCTTTTATTTCACACGCATTTTTCATCTTCCCATGGTGTCTTTTTCTCAAATTTACACTGAAAAGTGTCGTTAAAAGCTACCGTAATATCTCAGCACATCAAAATACCCGTGGCATCAGATTTGGGCCACGAGACGAGGGAAAAGTTCTGTGTGAAAGTGCCGAAAAGGCTTTTTATGAGTGAAGAACCAATCAGAGTAATTGATCCAAATCATTTATTGCCTCGCAGCTGATGAAAATGCATTTTATGAAGAGTCAGCCAGCGAGCGCTAAAATGAAAAGCGGGTATCGAAATAGCAGCTCTGTGATTTTTTTTTTTCATTAGTTTCTGTGGCACTTTGCAATTAAAGTGTATTTTTGGCACAGAAAACTGTTGCTTAGAGTAACGTATCCACATCCTCGCACCCATGTTCATTCGAGTGACAAAACTCAACATCAACAATTAATGACTTTGTTTGCTGTTGCTATGGTGAACTGTAAAACCCTGTAGCCGCTGACACATCCTGAGTTGGCAAAAACCATCGGATGGAGAAAATCACTTTTGTCTTGAATCATGCTTCGCTCAAGATATTTTCATTTTCATACCTAGTCTGTGTTAAGAGGATCTCACAAGTACTTATACAGAAATTCATGATCACTGCAAAAAATATTGGACATCAAAAACGTTTTTCTCCAAAACAGGCATTACTCTTTTTAGCCACACAAAAAACAACAACTTTATTTTGCCATAATTTTAATGCAGTGATGGAATTATGGTTATCATATATTATATTGATGGTGCTTATTTATAAATTATAACAAATCAATATCCATAAAACATAAAATATTTACTTGGACAAGTTGCTTTTAAATCAATGATACACTGTCGTATTTTCCCCAAAGGTAAAACAACAAGAGGTGTGCATCTCTCCATTAAAGGACAATTTGATAAGTACATGGATACGATTCAAGAACGGTACATACTTAAGTGGAACGATTCCATTTAGTTAGATTCCGTGAGGTTGCGATTTGTTAAGAGCAAGCTTTAGCTGCACCAGCATGAGATCACGGCAGCGAAATACCAGCCATTGAGTTCTGAGCTCAGCAATGGAACATGTTAAACATGTAACTCAAGTACCACTGTGTGTACTAGATAATGTGTGATATTCGTAAAATGCTATTGACCTTTTAAGTACAGAAAATAAACTTACGAAACGACTTATTTTAATAGTTCACATTTTTTCTCTCTCCTTACAGTACGGCCAAATACAATGTCCTCACTTTCCTCCCAAGGTTCCTCTACTCACAGTTCAGGAGGGCAGCCAACGCTTTTTTCCTCTTCATTGCCCTCTTACAGGTAACATTTTCAATCAGCGGGATCACCGTGTTGCATGATACACTTTATCTACATTTGTAGCATGCAAACAAATTTTTGGACAAATTCTTGACTCTTCTCAGCTCCAATTTGTTCCCATTAGTATGCGAGTGATGGACTGTTTGCGTTGACCTAGACACCATTTGTAAAGGTCCTGTCTGTGAAAATACACTCATAAAGACACACACACATACGCACACGCGCATCAACATTAAGCTGCCTGAGTTATGAATAATGCATGCAATACGATGTTCTACTAAAAGGAAACTCAATTTCTTTCCTGGCTCAACAATATTTATATGTCATTACATTGAAAATGCAATGAGCTACAATGTCCAGCATCGTCTCAATTGGCTATGTTACTATAGTGTCTATTACGCTTGGGAGGGTATTGATGTTTTTCTCCAGCATCGGTCATTCAAAGTAGCATAAATCCATCCGTCTCAGAGATAAAAGCGCGAGAGCGAGAGGATTCTTCACTTTGATTTCCACAGACCGTATTTCCCTTCAAAAGCCTCCATTCTGTGACCTTGACGTTACTGCTTTGAAAAGCATCCGGTGCATCTTCATTAGTTGATCGCTCGATGGTGCAACCTTGAACAAAAACATCTCTGAGGATTAGATATGTCACGTTCATAGCAGCAAGTCTGTGTATCCTTGCTTAGCTGAGATTTGATTATTGAATGTGGGAACCCCAAAATAGAATCATTATGTTTGGTTCTAAGGGGAGGATGTACTGTATGCATGTAGAAGGGTCGCCAGCCAGTCACCCTTTGTTCAATACGTTAAAATAAGATCTCCTGAAGCTCCTCTCCCAAAGTCTCAGCGATACTATTTCTCCTTGAGACCCTAAAAGCCTGATTCCATGTGACATTTTCATGACAACACTCTAAATTGTACCTAGGTGTGAGTGTGAGCGCGGGTGGTTGTTTGTCTCTGTGTGCCCTGCGATTGGCTGGCAACCGATTCAGGGTGTCCCCCGCCGACTGCACGAATACAGCTGGGATAGGCTCCAGCACCCCCGCGACCCTAGTGAGGATAAAGCTGTTCGGAAAATGAATGAATGAATGCATTTTCATGACAGGTTTGCAAATAAATCTTTGTGACATAGATTTATTTGAAAAATGAGGAAATTTATGTGTGCTTTAGTTGTGCTTTTTTGGGAACTAAAGGACACCGTATGTATGTGAGGGATACAGTCAAACCTCGTTACAACGTACCTCGAGGGACATAACTAATCTGTACATTATAACCATAGTTCGTTGCAACCGTTTCCAATAAAATGGCCACCAACTACGATGTATAAGACAGTACGAACATTTACAGATGTGAAAACATGAAACACAAAAGCCAAATATCCGCAACCATTTGTGAGTAGCATATGTCATTTTTTTGGGGGGAAATTAATCTTACACAAAACAAGGCCAAGAAGAGTAGAGCTCTGACTCGCCCCCAAAATCCCAGTTCCCTCATCGTGGGCACGTTCAGAAATATGCAACATACGTGCAGTGCTTCACTCCAACTCAGAGCATTCTTCAAATGTGCCATTTGGTTATTCAGACTGCTCCAAAAAAGGAGTACCGGCACGGCTGCTTCACGCGTCACCGGCCAAACTGAATTTCAACACGCAATTTGTGTAGCAGGTGTTAATTTAGAACCCTGGCAGAACTAAACTTTTAAGTGAGAAATCTTGAGAATTCTTTCTTTCTTTCTATGAGATGAATATATGAAAAATGCCCCTAAAGCTGGCTCAGTTTTGGTCCTTTTGTTCAGCAGTTGTGTTTTACAGAAGAATTGTACTTAAGGATCAAAGAAAGCCATTAGAACAGTCTTTAAATCGTCTGTACTTTCAATTTGATGATTTTACATTAATTTCAAGATTTTCTCAAGTTCTGTTACGCGCTTTGTGCAAAATAGCAAAACTGCAATCAATTGTGATTAATAACGGAAAAATAAAGTGATTAGCTAAAAAAAAAAAAGAATTGCCTGACAGCACTACTAAATTAAACGTCTACATTATCATGCCATTGTTGGCAACTTTAAACTCTCCAGTGTTTTTGAGCAATGTCATTGCAAAAATCTTGTGTTCAATTCAAGATGCTGTGGTGAAAGGAAAAATTGGGATCACTCTTGTACTAACCAACTTTGCTCACTCATGACACATTTTGTCATCACTTGTATTGTCTCCATTTTTTTTTCCCTCCCTCCCAGCAAATCCCAGATGTTTCTCCGACCGGCCGCTGGACAACGCTGGTGCCACTGCTTTTTATTCTGGTTGTGGCTGCTGTCAAGGAGGTCATTGAGGATCTGGTGAGAACAACTTCAAATATGTGTACTGTATTTCAAAAGTACCTCATCGACATCTTGTTCTTTTTGAGATGAGAGATTCCCTGCAGGAGGCATTCATATCATATCACATGATCACTGCAGAATGCGTGCAAACTTACATAGGCGCACGTGTAGTGTGTACATACGCAAGCACACACTCATTTCATTTAACATCTGTGCCTGCCTGGGTACCCATAGGACTCATTAACCTATATACTCTATGCATCAAGGCAGTTAGCACCAACCAAACATAACAACTGTTTGCCCTTTCGCTTCTTTGAAATATTTCAATACACTTGTTTATTTTATTCAAGATGAGGGGTGGGCATTCCACTATATGTGCTTGATCCACTTTGGGGAAATGTGTAGATGTACTGTCCTGTTTTGAATATAAATCTCTGAACGTCCCCATGCTAGTGTTGGACTGAGCAGAATTAATGATGTCAACAGGAGTTGCCATAGTCGAGTTCTGCGTCAATGTAGACCATACATAAAGTAGATGCTGCCTGTCCCCTGTTAGACAGCAAACGAGTAGAGAGTGAATCTCTGCTGCTTGTAACCAAGTAGCGCTTTCTATTTTGCCTCAAGACACAATTAATCCCCAGTCATTTCGCATGATATACAGTATTCCCAATGGGCTAATTAATTCTTATACCGGTCCATATTCATTACAAAATGTATAATTTCCTTCACAGTATTTAGTTTTGGTAAAGTGTGAACTCAATGCGTCAGACTGTATTGCAGTGATGCTTGTGAGGTAATCCTGTCTGCAGGTCCCACTGGACAGCTACTCTATACTGTCCGATTCTATCTTGTACTGAAGGCACGAGCGCAGCACTTTCTCCACACCTTCTGCCGGTCTCTTGTGTGGGGAAAAGCATGGCAATGGAGTGTTCTTGATTCCCTTCTTTGGAAATAAAGGTCACCCGCGCTCTCTTCCCTTCTGTGTTCACACCTCACGAGTTTACGTGATGCGACTGCAGCGCTGAGCCACGACATTAGCCTGGTTGTTATGTTTGCTGCATGGTTAAAGGCACTGCTCTGATAAGAAGGGCCCAACCGATTAATTGGCCCACCTATTTAATTTGCCGGTATAGGCTCTTTTAAAATATTTAACTTTACGACAGAGAGAAAAATCAGTGAGAAAAAAATGTAAAATTTAAATTAAAAAAGATAATGACATGAAGCAAGCACTCAAGGTCAAATTATTGTAAAACAGGCAAATGTCCTGCCTGTAATTCATTTCTTTAATGTAACACACACACACACACACACACACACACACACACACAC